TGTGACTGATAGTACATCTTTAAGAGACCTCAAAATGGAGCGGCGTCTCCCTACTTGGAACCCCTGATTCTGTTTTACTGTTTTACCAAATATTATAGGAACGACATTATTTATCAAATTCTGAATGAAAAGTGAATATCTTAATTATTAGCAAAAAAACAATTTAAATAATGATTTTAATTTACTGGTGTATTTCATTTTTAGTAATTTTAAGTTTTAGTAATTGTTTGGCTCATCACAGACAGTATTCCATTAACAATGTTGCGCTCGGCAAGAGGTCACAGCGTGGTTTGTCGGCCAACGGACAGCTCAGATAGTGCATGTCAGATTACACAATGTATACAGTATTCAATCAAAACAACCAACAAATACAATGGAGCTAAAACATAAGGATGGTTGCAATATGTCACTACATATCATATTGTATAAAAATTATTACGGCCATATGACCTCTGTATTATTATTACAACAGCACCATACGCAATTCAATAGCGTTTGCAGCAACAGTCATTTTCTTGTAATAGAATTATTTATTAAAATACATCATCTTCATTCAAAATCATTACATTTCCAAATGTAAAAATTTTAAAACTCTTTAACAAACTCCAAGAAATAAATTATTTTATTAACTCTTATTACAAACGTTATTGAAACAGGGTGGTTAGTTCATTTTTTCTTACGGGACATTCCCCGCATTCTTTTCCCTCTCCCCCTTCCCCTTCCTCTACCCCTTCCCCGACCTCTACCTTGTGGCATGGAAGTAGAGGGGTACATCGATTTTTCAGAGATTGTACTCTCTCGCTTTTTGGAAAATTGGTTTTTATAATCTATAAATCCTGCTCTAGTATTTTTAATACTACAGAAAGCTTTGACTGGTGAATCGCTAAATTCAAATGCATTGCTTTCACCTACTACATCCTTAGTATCAACGTCATCACTATCGTCTTCATCTATTTCAAAATCATCATCCTCGTTGTCATCCTCTTTAAGTATATAATCTTCATCTTGAGTTTTTTCTTTGCTAAAAGCAATGAGATCGTCCAAGTTTCCTTGCAGGTCATCTGTGTCGTCTTTCTTCATGTTTCTACCAGTTCTCTTCCCAGTCGATCTCAACCTGCAGGGCACAACATTTTGTTATGTAGCAACACATGTATGTTCCAACTAATTCAAAGCAAAAACCAACAAACAAAACAAAAAAATCTAACTGCGATAAAAATGTTTTAAAAGCAAAAATGGTAGTAGTAAAATGTGCAAAATGAAATTATGGGAATGCCATTACAAAGTTTATCGGCAGTAATTGTAACCAAACCCATGTTCAACTCTAAAAGAAGTAGAAAAATTAATAACAATTCAAAACAAGTGTGTAATAAGAACAATAAAAAAAAAAAAGCAGTCACCTGAGGATGAAGGTCACTGTGTGATTCAGGGCCTGAGTTTCTACTAAAATTAGTGCTGTAGCGTCTATGTATTCTTGGACCGACAAAAAAAAAAATTAACTACTGTCTAAATAAAATGTCAGTTTTATATAGTTCATAATGCCAACCCCTTCTATTATAATACCGTAAAACCTTGAATTGAAGCTCCGGGCTTCTTTTTATGCGAACGTTGAATGGCTTTTTTTTCGAGGCTACTTTTTTGCAGAGTAAATAGGGGTGCTTCTTTTCAAAATGAATGCCTTAAATTTTGTGAATTTGTACTATAAATCAAATAAATAAGGCCAATGTAACATCAATTTGTATCATGAAGTGTATTTAACTGGCATTAAATCACCTAAACTACTGTATTAACCAAGCTAGTTTTTAATTCATTTTGTTTTTTGAAATTCAAGTACAGTGTATGTACTGTACTATCTCGAAAAGAAGCCTATGCTATCTCGAGGCTAATTTTGCAAACTAAAGAGGGGCTTCAACTCGAAATGGGCTCCATCTCGAGATTAATCCCACTGGGCTTCAATTCAAGGTTTTACGGTATACATTAATACTCCCATCACTGGATCAACCACTCATGAAACACAAACTCAGCTCCCATTTAATCAATGAAAAAGAGAAGAACAATCATAGTAATAAATAAATTACCGTAAAACTTTGAATTGAAGCCCTGGGCTTCTCCTTTTTTTTTTTTTTTTTTTTTTTTTGCGAACCTTCAATGGGCTTCTTTTCGAGATGGGCTACTTTTCGAGATGGGCTTCTTTTCGAGACTACTTTTGCAAAGTAAAGAGGAGGGGACCTCTTTTCAAAATGAATGCTGCAAGTTTTGTGAATTTGTACGATTTAAACAATAAATAAGGTCAATGTAACATCAATCTGTATTATGGAGTGTATTTAACTGGCATCATCGAAACTAATGTATAAACCAAGCTTGTTTTTAATTTATTTTGTTTTCTGAAAGTCATGCACAGTGTATGTACTGTACTGTACTATCTCGAAAAGAAGCCTATGCTATTTTGAAAAGAAGTACATAGGCTTCTTTTCGCGATGGGCTTCTTTTCGAGCCTAATTTTGCAAACTAAAGAGGGGCTTCAACTCGAAATGGGCTCCATCTCAAGATTAATCCCACTGGGCTTCAATTCAAGGTTTTACGGTATACATTAATACTCCCATCACTGGATCAACCACTCATGAAACACAAACTCAGCTCCCATTTGTGCTAATATCCACTAAAAATTAACAATATGTTCATTTACTCCTTTTAGTAGCAACAGTTTACTACCTCTATTAAATTTAAATGCCTATCCTCCTGGGTCTCTACTTGTGTTTAAAAGAGCTAACCTCCCACCCCATCCTGCTCTTCTAGTACAGTACAGTCCAACAGGAGTAATGAATTCAAGGAGATGAGGTGAAACTTTGCTACTTAAACACTTTTTTACAAAGTTGACAGCAATGAGTCTCTCACATAATTATTACCTTTTGCCTTGTTGGTGTGTTTTAGAAGCCGATGACTTTGTTTCTTTCGAATCAGAAGGTACTTGGCTTTCTATATGCAGATTCTCTTCTTGATTCTGCCTCTCGAGCTCCTCGTTCACATGTTGTGGGTACTCAGATTTGGGAACCAACTTAGAACATATGAAGCATTTCTCAAACTCATCTTCTTCTGGTTCACTAAATTAAAGGCATAGTTGAAGAACAGTAAGTCATAAACTGGGGCGGATGCAGGATTTGTTGGTAGGGGGTGCATAAGAGTCCAGACCACCTCGGCCCCACCATGGTTGGGGAGAAGGTGCGACCATTTTAAAAAAATAGGGACCTCTAGGTGGGGCAGAAATTGCACTCTCATACACCTTAAATATCTTACTGGTAAGTCATATCAACAATACAATACAACAATTATTTTTTCTTAATACAATTTGGGGGGGGGGGGCGGCGAACACACCGTCTGCACCCACCCCCACCCCCTGCATCCACCGCAGATAAATTATGATACAATTGCTTTTCATGGACATTCATGATTTATCTTTGTTTTTTGTTTTTTTTGTTTCTTTTTTTTTGTTGTAAATTATTTACCAAGGACCCCAATACAAAGAAGCCTTCAGAATATACAGTACCCTGGCTTAATTCAGCAAACGCAGTTTAATGTTTACCTGTGTTTTGACAGACGTTTGACTCTTTCTTTTTTACCAATTGTCAACTTTGGTATACTAATGGAGAGCTCTTTCTTAACAACCATCTCAGATAAAACTTGGTCAATGTGATCAGAGCTAATACTAGCATTGCCATGAGAGGTGCTAAAAAATAAAAAACATTATAAAAGCAAACTGAAATTCTGACACTTATTAATCATTCTTGTTACTGTGGTAATCTATCTAAAACCTAAAATTAATATCAGATGTATCTAAAATCTCTGTTCACTTTGAATTTATTTCTGTGCATAACAAAAAACAAGGATTGTAAAAGCATTATGTTTAATTGGAAACAATGGTATATAAATGGGACAGAGGGGACGCATGCCTCCCAAAACAGGTTTGTGCCCCACCCCACTAAAAACTGAGCAACAACTTAAATAGTTAAAAATCACCTCATTCTAGCCCCTCCCCTACTTCCCCATTGCAACCCATCATGCTTCATCCCCTTTCAATACTACTAAATATTCCAAGTTCAGATGTATTGACCACTTACGTTTGGGAAACTTCAAGAGGCTGCACCTCTTCATCACTATCAGATATTCGATATGGATCGTCTGTGAAATAGGAAGCAGTGCCAAATTATCACATCAGTATATACAAAGCAATTGGATCTAAAGTAAAGAAAAAGAACGGGCTTCGGCAGGGGGCCGATGTCTCCGAAGAGAGCAAAGTGGGCCTGGTCGGGCATCGCTCAAAATCTTTCGAAAGTGGTCGAGGAGGCGAAGCCCAAAAAATATGACAATTTAGGGGTTTCAAAGGCTCAATTTTAGAGTCTACTATATGTAGAAATTATATGTAAAATTTTTCTCATAGACTTATGCAATATATTTTGTTTATTTTCTATTTAAAATTGAGTAAATAAATAATTTCTATACCTGTAAACCTGGTTTTTCCTTGTTTGTTTAGTCTTGTATATGTTGCTACTGGGGTCTTTTTCGTATCCCTGTAAAAAAATGGAGTCAATTTTATTATCTGCTAAGGAGGGCCATTATAGGCTAATAACTGAAGCATAGGCACATAGCAAAAATTTACCAAATTTCTAGTTGAAATGATGAAAACAGCCATCAATAACACATGTTAAAATTCTTAAAGTTAGGCATATATATTTATTTTCAATTAAATTATGTTAAAGTATGTGCAGGTCTCCCTCCAATTAAAGACCACTTTTGGGACTAGCATTTCCATGGTCTTTAGAGCTTTGGTCTCTAATTAGAATAATAAAAATAAAAGATGTTAGTAAATTTAGGACCACAGAGAAGTGGTCTTTAATTGGAGGTAGTCTTTAATTAGAGAGTTTTTTAATTGGAGGGAGACCTGTACTTAACTTATATACAGTAGTTGAAATTATTCTAAAAGACAGTAGACAAGATTATAATGTAAAATAAATTGATCAAATCATGTGTTCTCTACTCACTTAAAAACCCAATCAGTATCAGAATCTTGTTTCATTGAACTTCCTGATTGACTCTGGGGGTCAATGTTCAATACTTCATGGACCACTTCAGCTTCAGGCTCTAATGCTGTAGAAAATAAATTATCTCACCAAGTGATTGTACATATTTTATTATATATTTATTTATACATTTAGGCTCAAGGGCCAGGAATTGCCAATTAGCGAATATCACTGTCATTTAGGTAGGAAGAATTGACAATCCCTCTCACAACACATACATAAATCTACGCATTCAGCTGTACAAATTCTCATTATTTCATATGCTACCTGTCCACAATTTATAATTCCTATTTGAGTGGCACATTCTGGCTGACATTTCTCATCACAGCCATGCATAGTAAATTCCAACAGATAATGAGTTGATCTGGATATACATGAAGCTATGCACTGTGTCACAGCAAATCATAGGGCAGAAAATACAGGATGATTATATTTATACAAAGGTACAAAATTGATGAATACAGGTTCATACCAATTACGACATGAACAGTGCACCTATTCATTTATTAATTGGAAAAAAGGGCAGATTGGGGAAATTCCACAAAACAGGGGACAAAAGGGAAAGCTGGACATTTTAACAAAAATTCTTGGGGAGGGGGAATGTTGCTCTCTCCATTCCCACAAATGTATCACTAACATTTTACCTTCTTCAATTGGACCATCACATTCTGCTGCATGCCTTTCAATTTTATCTTGAGGAAAGCACACATTGCACATTGGACAAGATATACCATTCTAAAGTTAAAACGAATTATGGAAGGCATAAGAAGCCATAATACATCAGGTTGCAGTCATCCTCTTAAAAAGTATGTATTCTAGATTTTAAATATTTATTGAAAAGTATGGAAGGCATAGGAGACATAACACACTGGCAATTCAACAATCATTGGTTGTAATTTGATATTTAAAATTAAGAAAAATGACTTTTGGAGCAATTTGACACAAAACAAATATTATAGGCTAAATGTTTTACTTATATTACAGTATCTTTATTCAAATAATCTGTACATAAAACAGTATCTTGCAGAAATAAATCTGAATTACAACTGAGTTGTTAAATATTTAACAACAGGAAATCATTGATACATCACATCAAAACAGCAGTGATAAAAATAATAATGATGATGATAATAATAATAATAACAGTAATAACAATAATTAGTATCATTTAGTTTCCTTAGAGGTTAAGTACATCCATTTTGAATCAAGATGTATTTAAAATTTCTATCGAATATTGTATATTTATTTTGCATTCATTGCAATTGTTTGCTAAACATAAACTTTTTGCAATTCAAAACTACATACCAATAGTAAACAGACAATAAGACAACACAAGGATAACCACAACCTAAGAAGGCAAGGCCTGACGTAATACTAAAGGTACTCTGAATGCAACTGCCCTGTGTGGTGACATACTAAAGGAAAAGCTACACTTACATTTTTGTTGTAATCTTCCTTTTCTGGTTCCAACTCATTCTGTTCTTCATTTGGATTTTGATTTTGCTGATTTTGCAATTCAATAACTGGTGATCTACCGCGTGCTTCATTCGTACTACCTGAAGCCTTTGAATTGATGACATCACTGTTGCTTTGAAGTTTACGTGCAAAGAAACCTTGACTGTTTCTATCTGAATCTAGTATTACAATAGATACAGAACCAGATCCTGCAGACGCCTCACTCTCATTACCATCCTCAAGTTGCCCGTCATTATGATTTTGGACATTTGGCAACACTTCATCATCATCCTCTAAATATTCTGTTGCATCTTTTCCTTTTTTTTGCAGCCATGACTGTCTCTTCTGTTTTGAGTATATTAACCTCTGCTCTTCATAACTCACAGATATTTCAGGTTTGATGGTGTAATCACTGGATGATTTCTCTGTGAACTCCAACTTGCTTTCATCTGTTTTTTTTGGTCTATTTTCAGATTCTTCATCAGAATAGTGCAATGTGTTGGTGTTGTGCGATGTATCCACCAGTTCTGAGGTTCTTTTGCCATCTGATTTATTTTTCACATCTGCATCTTCTTGATTGTCATCAGAATCTGTGTCAGATTCCTTGACTATGATAGGGACAGGACTGTCGCTCAGTAGAGTGTCTTCGAGTTCCTCGTTAACTTCCTCATCATCCCCAAAAGGTAATGTTTCTCCACCGTACAACACATCATCATCATCATCAGGAATTTCAACGTTCTTTTCCTCGTGGTGGCTTTTTTCGGGACTTGTGTTCTGTTCAGTAAGCTTTGGTTTTTTCACACTTATTTCAAAATCAGATAAGTCAGATGAGTCCTCCAGTTCATTTCTCATTCGTCGTTTCCGATGACAATTAGGTTTACCACAACCCTCAGCAAGGCTGATGGCACCATCAAGTTCTCCAGTCAAGATGGAAGCACTGGTTGTTTTTTTGACTGTCTGTACTGGTGACTGTTTAACAGTAATTTCAAGTTCATCCTCACTGTCAAAAAATACAAACGGTTTCTCATTGCGTTTACGGTGTCTCAAACAATCTCTCATAAACGGACCAACCTCAACTGGTTTGCCCATCATTGCATAGTTCTGAAGTCGTCGCTGGGCATTTCTAAATCTTTCGAGCTGATTGTTCAACATATCAAAAATTATGCAAGAATACAATTTCTTATCTTTGGTATCAGGAGCAAAAAAAGGTTTCAAACTTTTTAGAACCTGAAAAGGATAAAATAACAGATTAGCCTAATAATTATATATACTTTAAATTATGCCACAAAAAACAAAAAAAAATCTAAGGAGAAAGATCAACATTTAAATACAACTTTGAAATGTAAATTTAAAAGAGCCTCATAATTAATCAGCTTTCAAAAGTCATAGATAAAAAAAAATCATATTTGAATTATTTAGAGACGTTTTTTTAATATAGATAAGACTAAGAGGAATAGTAGTACAATTTCCCCACAGAATTTGTATAATCTCATTAAATTATATTATTTACATTCATTTAAAATACAGTATTTTGTATACAAATACAAAGAACAAAAACAATTCTAGGAAAAGGAAAACTATACCCAGGTGATAATCACTCCAGTAAATTCTTACAAGCCAAACATGTTTTGACAATGTAAACACGAAAGAAACTAATAAAAGAGATACAAGCTGTGTAAATAACAAGAATACCAGATATGTGAGGTCTCACCACGAAATGAGACGCATTGTTGTTGAAATCATATTGAGATATTCACCAAAACAGGCCAAAGTCAATATTTGTACAAAATTTTGATTTTAATGTTTTTGAATTTACTTGATACTTATATTTTATGATTGTATACTTTGTAAGTTAATTTTCTTGCCAAAACAGTGTTCTCTGCACATATTCTGTAATTCAAGTCATATTATTTGTACAGGTTAGTTTATCTTTGAGGTCGATTTTCTCAAAACATGGTTCTTATACACCTAAACTATAAATGCTCACATCTCTGGATCTACTTATCCTAAAGAAGCTATTCAAAGACCAAATGTGATCTACCCACATATAATATAAACTCAATTTTTGAATTTCTAACCATGAGACTCATTTTGTGGTGAGACCTCACATATATCCAACCAGTTATGTTTTTATTGAAACCTTAGCAGTCAGAGATCTTCTCTCTTATTTTCTATTGGTCACTGTTACCACTACAAATGACAAACCTCATTATTTGTCACTTACAAATTAGGTTATGTCATTGACTACTTGACAAAAATTAAATAATTAATATGTTGTACAACTGATTTCTCTAAGACAAAAAGTACATTTGACAAAATATTCAGGAATGGTTAATGGGATACAGATTTTTAAATACAGTGAAACGTCCATTTTACAAATAGTCGATTCTACGAATGGTCTTGCCCCTGATGATGTCATCATCGATCAATTATTACCGTAAAAAAAGTCAGATTGCGCACGTTTTACAAAGTGATAATGTAGATTTTTTTGAATAAAATCAAGTTTGTTGTATTTATTTAATTAATAGTTTGATATTTTCTTCCATTTCTGGAATAATAATCACTATATTAACATAATAAACCAGATTGAGCTCACATATTTACATTGACAAACGAGTGTTGGGTCAGCAACTTATTGACATTGTGAATTCTAGATATGATCGCGAAGTGCATGTAAACAACACAATTCAGCGATAACAACTTGAAAGAACAAGATAGAAAGGTCCATAAAACATACAGATGTTTGAATAAGAGTTAAATTAACATTTTAAGTGGAAGAATGCCAGCGATTAAAATAATTTGGTTTTTATCGAAGACAAATTTAGGGCAGTATATCTATGGACCTTTGGGATTTTCTATTTAGATTAAAATACTGTAGATTAAACTTTTTAGTGAATCATTTATTATCATAAAATAATCAAGAATAATATTAATTATGTTATAAAAATATACTTACCGGTCTGTTGTTGCCCGGGAGACACATAAGTTAGAAGAAAAGAAAATAATGTTAGTGAAAATATATAAACTTTGTTCAATTTACTTTAAATATTTAAGGGCTTACAATTGGAAGAACAAGAGTTTGAGTCTTAAACCAAGCACTTGCATCTTGGTGGTTAGGTTGCCTGCCATCCAATCCCATGGTCCTGTGTTCAAATCCTGCAAACACCACAATTTATTTCTCACAAGAAAAAAAAAACAACTCTATTCCCTAAGTGCCATATTGAGACTTAGTTTATAGTTTCTATTCCACCATATACATGTTGAGTTACTCACTGTTGGATGAATACATATGTTCCAATTTGTTATAGCAACAAATAGCCAGGCTTGTCAGAAATTTAAGTCTCCCTTCCACCTCAACACTGGCACTGCCACTGGGCATAGTGTGTGTATCAATGTGAACACAGTACCAACATTGAAGGCTACTATACTTTATTAAAGCCACAAGGTCCTGTTCAAACTTGTGGATTCCTTCTGGTGTTTGTATTTCCCATTTCATTGATATTATTGTCTTTTAGGGTTACATTGTACCTTTAATACTATCAGTACTACTGCTGTTCTTACCTTCGGTCTACTGCCATTAAAGGGACAGTTTTTTCTGGGACATGTTTAATTACTTCAGGCATACTGTCAGGCAATTCAAGATCTGTTTCCTCATCATCACTGGTTTCAACTCTTGGGGTTTTACTTGGTCGTTCTGGTTCAGCCACCTGCCTCTTTCGTTTCCTAAGACTTAGTCGATCCTTCCGTAAGGCAAAAATATCCACAACACTGAGTGAAGAGAAATATGGTTCTCATTTACTGAATAATTTTTAAAATTTTGCATTCTATATTTTGTAGGAGCCTTCATGAACACACCTCAACCTATGCCTTCATGGTTCCTCGCCACAGATAATTTGTTTAAATGGATACCCCCACCTGTGAGTTATGAGTAGACTGGCCCCTGTGCCTCAAATTGCATGTAAACAGTTCGGTGATGTGTGCTGCATTTCTTTTCTGATTCATGGTAAGTTTTTGTTCCACCCTTCTTTATTGCATCGAGCACAACTTCAGTGGATATGTGCTCTTTATTAATCTTATTATTATTAATATTATTATTATCATCTCCGCCAAGAGATATGTTTTCAGTTGTGGAAGTTTGCGTGTGTGTGGGTGTGTGTGTGTCACGTACAGTGTTTTATATGAACTAACTTCACTTTTTAAAAAACTTATTGGGAATATTTTTAATTCATCTTTACATTTAATCATGTGTCGCTAAACACCAAATCCCCATATTTCTATTTCCAAAATATTTCCATTTCAACACCAATGCATTGCAAGTATTTTGTTTGTCAGCTATAAGAGTAACACTTGCATGTAAATTAAGCCAGAACATGTCAGGAATTGGCAGGTGTACAACTGATATAATAAAAGGCATTTGAAAAGTAAAGTGGTTATAATTTGGTGTCGATTATGGACCACTCAAAACAAAATGTGGCAGATCAGATATCGCAAACACTAAACAACTCATCTAAATGAAACTTTCGTGTTAGTGTAATTTTTTTTAAGTAGATTGTGGTTGGTGGTTGGAAAGTACATATTTTATAGGAATTTTTAACAGAAAAAGATTGGCGGTGGGCGGAGATATGCTCTGTACTGAGTGCTATTATTATTATTATTATTATTATTATCATCATTATTGTTACAAATACTTATATTTATCAAATACTGATAATTAAAATTTGGATCAATTAGATGAAGCTAAGTCAAGTAAAAGAAAGCATAGAGGCAGTGGAATTACAGGTACTTACATTCTCACCAAATTCCAAGGTGTGTTGTTTATATTATATTTACATACATTCACTAGGATCCACCACAACATATTTCTCTTATTTGAAAGTGTAAATAAAAATAAATAAAAATTAATAACAAATTTACCTGTTGTTTGATTGAGATTCCAATGCTGTCTTGTCATCTTCAATCTAGATGAGAGAAAAAAAAAAGAGTATAACAAATATAATTTAATGATTTTTTTTTGCTAATGTCAATTCGACACGTAGTGGAAATGGAACTTGGTGTTTAAGATGCTTGCTATCCAATCATCGTCTAGCTATTCTATGAAAATAGTTGCATAGTAGTAGTACTAGCAGCACTCTCTGTTCCGGTCTATAATACAATGAGTTAACGATATTAACGAAAGCAAAATTTTAATATAATAAATATTGACTAACCACTACATCATCAGGTTCTGAGTCGCATGAAGGTGTTTGAAACAGCAGAGGAGAGCTCCTCTCATCGTCACCATCCTCATCGAAGGCAGCTACTTCATCTCTTTCTTTAAGCGACACAGGAGAATCTTCATTCTCATCTTCTGGTGAGCAAATTCTAACATCTCTTTGGTGTTTATCAATACCTACATCCCCATCTCTATCGCAAAGAACTTGGTCATCTTCATCCACTACCTGGTGGTGATCTTTTTGGCTCAAAGCTGATTGGATGTTGTTTTCTCCAAGGGAATCGGCACCATCGTCTCGTGGCTGTAACCCATAAACACATAGAAATCGCAATGTTGTTTTCCTTAGGCTGCGTGTATTTTTTATTCAGTTTAAGTATGTTTCTATATTTCAACTCTTGGTTTATTGATGTTATAATTAGCATAAATTTTGCACATTTACCATCACCACATTAAAAATACCACAACCACCACTACTATAACCAACACTACTTTAACTCTCATTACCATAAAACCACCACTACAATACTATCATTATCATAACAACTTCCATAACTACCACTACCATAACCACACTGGTATCATAACCACCACTATCATAATCCAAACTAGCATAACCAACAACTACCATAACCTTCACTACCCACAACCACTACTACCATAACGAACACTACTTTAACTATCACTATCATAACCACTGCTACCATAACTACCACTGTACCATAACCACTGGTATCATAACTACCCCTACCATAACCTCCACTACCATAACCTTCAATACCCACAACCACCACTACCATAACAAACACTACTTTAACTATCACTACCATAACCACTGCTACCATAACTACCACTGTACCACAACTACTGGTATAACTACAACTACCATAACCTCCACTAGTATAACCAACCACTACCATAACTTTCACTACCAACAACCACCACTACCATAATGAAAACTACTTCAACTATTACTACTCTACTATAACCACCACTACCATACCCATCACCACCATCAATATTCTATTCCCTTTTCCCAAGCCTCCAAATTGGCCAAACACGTAAATATGCTATGAATTATATTTACCACAGAATTTTGACTACATGCCCCTTTGGTGGTAAGATTCACGTCAGATCCACTTTGTTCTAACATACTCAATGCTATGGCTCGCTGAAAACAAATAGAAATAGTCTGGCAGCTTAGCAGATGGATGTGGACGTTCCGGACAAAAGCACCAATTTTTTTTTACATGCTTCTTATGGTCATAGCATTCAATTTTTGGTAGGAACCACCTCATCCGAGGTCATTATGGTGGCCATCTTGGATTTCAAAATGGCCGCCTAATAAAACCTATGTTTATCTATATCTTCGCTTCTAAACCACTTGGAATTATAATTCTAATGTCTGAAACAATTTTTATATGGTAAAGGAAAACCATCATACCATTTTTGACCTGGTATTGCCACAAATAGGTCATTTAAGGTAATTTAGGGTCATTTAAGGTCAAATATTGTATGGTATCTTAAAAATTACATAATTGTCATATTTTACATTAGAACCATACCCTGACTCTCAGAATTCAAAATCTTTACTATGAACTACAATATTTCATTCGAGGTCATTCTGGCAGCCATCTTAAATTTCAAAATGGCTGCCACGCAAAACCTA